AACCATTTTATATGGTTAAATTTGAGTTACTATTTTATATATTTAAAACTACTATAAAATAAGTTTGTGCGAGTGCAACTATAACTTTTTAACTAATTCACTTTAGTACTCTCAAATAAACACATTTTTTGATGATATAAATAAATAAAACATTACGCCAACTGAAAATTATCCAATTATTTACCATAACCAAATTTTTTTATACCTACCGAAGTATAATATTGTATACAGTAAAACCTCTTTATAACGGAAAATAAAAATAGTCCCGAATAACCTATAGGTATCCAGTATAATTTAGTCTCTCTACAACGGAAACTCCTTTATAACGGAAAAATGAGTTGGCACAGGGCGATCCGTTATGAGGGGGTTTTAATTTTTCTGTATTTGTATATGTAAAATGCAGTCAATGTTGTCTGATAAAATTATTGTAGTACCTAATTTATACCTAATATTATATTGTGATCTTTATGCTACAGTGAAAGTTTTTGGAAGCTTATGAGATAAGAGACAGAGGCCCACTTTAACACAGAAATTAAATTATAATAAAAATATTGATTATTAAATAGTCATTTCAGTTGGTAATAAAAATGATAACTTATAAGTTATAAGAATTGTAAGAGTACGAAGTACAAATCACAATATTTTCATCAATAGCGATTATAGAGCTGTGAAGATTACATGATAGTGGCTGCCTCCTGCCTTATAAATAATATTCTTAGAATAGCTGTGCTGTAATTACTGATTACAAGCTATGATAATTTATTTTTATAACTATATGTAACCACCCTTTTAAATAACCAAGGACATACATAATTAGATGATATACAAGAGAATAAACGTGCCGTACATTTTTTTTCGTATTTCAAATCAAATTATTTTCAATATAATTTTAATAAAAAAAATGTTCAGTATTCTTTTTAATGTAATGATAAAGATCCTGTGCTGCCTACAACCCAACTTAGAAGTAGCTTAAGAGGCGCCGGACTAAATACGCCACGGAGTGTTGGTTAAGTATATAGGCCGTATACCTAGTACCTATACAGCATAAAAACAAAGAAATAAGTTTTAAATTAATACATTATATTCTTTAATACATTATAATATTAACCAATATCAAACTTATCTATGTCATTTGTATTAAATTAACTGTAAGGTGTAATAATATATTGTAATAATAAGGCAATTATTTACTTCGTATATAATAAATACGAAATAATATTTATTAAAGCTTTAATATAGGTAACATTGCTATTAATGATTTTGAAATTTATATATGGTAAAGCCCCCAAAGAGTTGGTGAAATAAGTATTCATCATTTTAGCACTTCCTAAAATGTAGCACTATTTGTCGTTTAAGGGAGACAACACAATTAAAAATCATCGGCGCCAGTAAACACGGTATGTTATAAAATCATGAAAGCATTCTTTCGTATATACATACGTGTATATATATGTATTTATATATACATTATATATTTCAAGAGCCCTTCGATAATTCTCCGGTCAAAACAACACACTAAATTATACCTTTTTCTCAAAAAATAAGAAAATAATATATCAATACTTTAATGTAGGACGCAGGACGCAGGTCGGCTATTTACGTAATTACTAAACAACGACTGCCGCCGCCATTGACGTTTAAAATTAAAAAAAATGAATCGCGGTTTCGATTGTTGTGGTTATATTCTTTGCGCTTTGCCCCTCCCCCCCTCAAATTCACGCCGATGCGAAGTGACTGCTCAACACGACGAGGGCCCTGCAGTATATAAATTTCAATCGAGAGAAATAGAGATAAAAAAAAAAAAGAAAATGCCACGGTGATATGGGCGAACGACGACGAATCGAGTACCTATGTATTATTTTTCTATATACTTATTCGTGAGTATATTATATTGTATACAATACACGATGTTCTATATTATATGATATAATGCAGTAGTTCTCAACTGGGGTGACATGGAACTAGCTTAGGGGTGACGCAGAATTTTAACAAGAAAAGAAAAAAAATTTAAAAAATTAATTTTTTCGAAAACAATCATATTATTTCTTATAATAAATATATTATACACCTATACCACCAATGTCATGTACATGACATAGAGTGTCAACGTTTTGAACATGCCTTTTTTGTGTACTGTATTTTTTTTTTTAATAAAAGAAGAATTTTTAAATATACAGCTAAGATTGTTTATTATTTTGATGTTAGGGTGACGCAGTGTTTGATTCTAGTTGTTGAAGGTGACATGAATCAAAAAAGGTTGAGAACTACTGATATAATGTGTTCTAAGTGTACGATGGAAATTGCGAGAGTAATTGCGGAACTGCAGCGCACGTAGGTACTTATATGTATATAATAATTTATATACCTATATACCTACTGTATATATATACATGAAAAACCTTTGGTATATAATAATGTGCTCTGTCCTAAATGTATAATACACGTATGTAGGTACATGTATACGGGTCGGCGATGATGCGCGTCTATTGATTTTATTTTTTATTTTTTGTTATCGGGTACATAATATAAGTATATAGAACGGAATATATAGGTCTTCGTACGAAGTATACGAAAAGTATACCGCCGACGACTCGACAGGTAGATCGACAATCCGTGTATAATATTGTTATATAATATATATATATATATATATATACCTATACAATAATATATATATTATGTATATCGAAATTTACAATAATATATATAGGAGGTATATGCGTATAACAGGCTGTCTCGTCGAACCTAATTATTCCATCGGTTGTCTTTTCATTTCTGATGACATGGTTACGTCTTGTAAGTTATAATGTTCCGTTGGAGTGGTCTATAGTATAACGACGACGACCACGTCAAAGGTCGGCACAAAATTGCATGGGCTCTTGTCCTTCTATTGGACTCAAGGGGTTGGGAAAATATTTACGGACGGTTTACGTTGTTTGGGTATAAAGGCATGGCAAGAAATAGGACGGGAGTATAAGGTAATAACGTGAAACCCGCTTTATCCAAAAAATAGGTATAGTGAACAAATATCAAATACAGGCTAAAATTATATCCAATTATCATGATAGTAATTTCATTTTATGTAACCAGTGGAAGTTATATTTATTTATAAAAAGAAAAAAAAAATACTTTTAACAAAAATATATTTATGATTCATAGATTTTCCTTGAAGAAGAAATATATCGAGTTTTGTGCTATATTCTACTAATTTCTAGTTTCTACTATCACTATAATTATAGTACTATAATCAGTCACCAATGGAAACCCTTTGTAAAAAATAAAAAATTTTCGATTTTCCTCGTGAATCTAAAAAGTTATGTGTGAGCACTGAGCAGTGAGCACCTCATTAAAATTTAAATTTTGGAAAATCTCTTCCAAAATCATTACTGCGTGGCGGTAACGAAGGTACCACGATAATTTCGAAAACCACAGCTATCATAGTTTTGGATCCCTGACTGACGACACTCGATTGTGTTTATAGAGATTTTTTTCCTTAATGTAAACTGTTACTATATTAATTACATTAGCTACCGTTTCTTAGTAAAATAAAAACATTTTGTCTCACTAATGTCCCGGTTTTATATATTTTTTTGACGGAAACCACTATTTTTTTTTTATTATTAAATATATTGTTCTGTCGCAGAATGAAGTATTTTTCTAATGATTTTTAAATATCTAACACATAGTATTTATATAATAGTATTTATATAATAAAACAGAGAACTCTCTTAACATAATCAGCTGTTAACATTTAAAAAATTATGTTCTACAGCTTATTACGCATACGTACCGTTTACGGCGAGTTTTGCCGGTGTACTTTCCTTCTTGCCTACGATGTTTTGTGCCACTCACAGGCATTCATCGCCATCGTCTTGTTTGACGTCTGTAATCATCAGATTGCCACCGTCTACGCGTCGCATCCTAAACAAACAAGTCATATAATGTCAGTGGCGATCAAAATACTGCTGGCAATATAGGTAATACATTTGAAAATAGAAATATTATTATGTTACATCTGTTATATCATTATACCTACTTATGATATTGCATATATTAACAATTAACACAACGAACGGTATAGATAACGGTTATAAAGGGCCACAAGAGCATAATATAATATTGTTTCGATCGAAAATAAGTAAATTATAAACAGTGATGGCGGAATGCTGTAATTATATTTTCGATAGACCGATACGATTACAGGTAATAACGATTGAATTTAACAAGTTACAACATACTAAAGGATCGGGTATGAGGCTATACTATCGATGTTAAAATAAAAACAATTTTAGTATGAAATAAACTAGTTAGTGAAATTATAATCATACGCCCGCGGTGTCCATATGATTAATTTGGTTTTATAGCTGCTTTATTTACATAATATTATTACTATACTGTATTGACAGATTCAATTTTGAATATAATAATATGTAGGTAATTAATTTTAAATCAATATACAAACATATAACATACCAGCTACATCTATTTTAGTCACCGGTTGATCATAATATAATATGAAGTCTTTTTACCCAATAGTGATTATAATATTATTATTATGAATGAAAAAATATTATAAATTGCTCATAGGAATGCGATATATAGATTATCAGCCGAAATCGATGACCGCCACAATGACTGTATACATCTGCAGCTGTAGCAATGATATATTAATTATTTTACCGGATAGGACAATAAATAATGATTATATACTCGGAGTACCCATTTAAGCCGCGGTTTTGTCTGTTGGGAGTTTCTTCTATCGCGAAGAAACTATTATAATTATTATTATTTTTATTATCATAATCATTATAAGCTCGGAGACCGATTAGGTTATTATGTTATATTATTATATGGTATTGCTCATTCATCGCTATATGGCTATGTTTGTCAAGACGTAAGTACAACAATATAATACGACATAATACACGCTGAATATTAAACTCGTTAGGTGAGTAGTCATATAATTCTTTTTGAAAAATAACTGTATTTATAACATATTATTATAATGATATTATCTGGTGTACCTTGTCGTCTAATCTATGTGCACGTCTTCTCTGTCTTTCTTCCAAACGACCATCGGGTCCGGATGACCTTTCGGCGTGTAATGAGACAGAATTGCTGATGTTATTTTTCGTTGTATAACGTTTACAAAAACTACTACTCGTGCGCTGTGTAGTAGAGAAACCAGGAAATAGCCGACCGCCGCCGCCGGACACCGGTGCGCAACCCGTCGACAACAACAGAACTAATTGTCGTGAGTACGCCGAAGCAAGAGCCTCATATCGACAACAGATAGCGCGCCCCGGAGCAATATTCACGAACAGACATTTCATTATACTAATTAACAGTTTCATGTTAATTAGTTAATGAAACTAATACTACCAGAAGAAAGGGCGACATCTAAAGTAGAGACTACGCCACTCACATGATGAATCTACATCGCTAAGTTTAACAAACACATCAAAAAGTAACTATGACCGACCGGAGTTCTTATTTGCTGCGACCACAATAACAGCCAGCAAATATACCCCGGGAGCAGTCCCGAAAAAAACGTTCCCTCGCTGCTGAGCTCGGATATGGTGTATACCAGGTCAAACGAGCCAGTACGCCGCTATCGACACTGCCGCCGCCACCGTTCGCCGCCGCCGTTGTTCGCTTTTAGTCTCCTATTGAGCTTGGACATGGATAAAACCAGGTCAGACTGAGCCAATACGAGATTTTACCGTCGTCGCCGTAATTAAACGTCGCCGCCGCCGTTGTTCGTTTTTGTCTCCTATTGAGCTTGGACATGGATAAAACCAGGTCAGACTGAGCCAATACAAGATTTTACCGTCGTCGCCGTAATTAAACGTCGCCGCCGCCGTTGTTCGTTTTTGTCTCCTATTGAGCTTGGACATGGATAAAACCAGGTCAGACTGAGCCAATACTAGATTTTACCGTCGTCGCCGTAATTTAACCGTCGCCGTCGTCACAGTTTGTTTTTTGTCTCCTATTGAGCTTGGACATGGATAAAACCAGGTCAGACTGAGCCAATACGAGATTTTACTGCCGCCGCCGTATTGAAACGCTGCCGCCGTAATTAATGTTATTACATCGTGATCGAGCCATCGCCGCCGACCGAGTAATAATATTCATGGACTTATTGTGAATAACGAGCCACACGCCGTTATCCAATATTGTCATTTTACCGCCGCCGCCGTATTTAAACGCCGCCGCCGTAATTCGTAATATTGTTCTTCGTAATATATCGTGTTGTCGTACCTACCCGCCGACCGAATATTATTGGTAAAGTTGTTGTGAATAACGAGTTACACGCCGTTATTCATTTTTAATCGTCGTCGCCGGATTCAACGTCGCCGCCGCCGTAATTCTTATTATAACACGTAAATCGTCGTAAACACGCACTCACACATACGCACCACAGTGCAAATCGTATAGTGTATACGCCGCACGCATCATTGTACCTACTCGTCGCTGGTCAGGACGTGTTGTTGTACCTATCCGCCGACCAGCCATATCAATCAACAACCCAGGGAAGCATCTCGTAAACAATTAGTTCTACGACGACCACTTTCGACTGCAGTCCATCAACGGAGAGCCGTCATTCAGTTCAACCAGTACGTGTGCTCAAAGATTGAACAGTCCACCAGCAATTCCACTCATAACCAGGAAACCGTGAGTCAAAAAATCTTATATTGTCAAAAACCTATTTCTTGTTATACGTATTTTGAATTGTACACTGCTTTATGCAGTTAATATTATGTTGAAAAGAAAATATTGTGAAAATAATTAATACAATACGAACAATAAATATCAAAAAAAGTTAATATTATATTTGAATCAAAAATTGTGTTTGCATTCATTTATTTATATTACATTGGCGCTCAACTACAAGGCTCGAAAATAGAAGATAATTCTACTTCGACTCCCAAGATTAAAAAAAAACGAAGATTTTCTACGTCATTTTCTACATCGATTTGCAAAGAAGAAAGCTACATCGTGAACATGGCACCGAAGAAAAATGTAACGGAAGAAACGTTCCAAGCGTTCCAACGTGAGGTGGAGCGAAACAGTCAATACCTAGTCGATCAATTATTGCAAAAAATAGGTCAACTAGAAGAAAAATGCAATAATATGGATGAAAAATGCACAAAAATCGAAAATCAATACAAAAATGAAATTGAAAAATTAAATGAAAATTACTACAGAGAAATACAACATCTGGAACAACAAAATAATGACAACATACAAAATTTAAAGAAAATGTTCGTAGATCAAAAACAAAATGCAAACATGATGAACAACGAACATCGAAATTCAAATGTGGAAATATCAAAACCGCTGTTCTATGCAAACAATAAAGACCAGCATCCGATCGAATTTCTACAAAGTTTGGAAGAATATTTTAAAGTCAAGCAAATGAGTAAGGAAGAAAAACTGATCATAATTCGAGACTGCTTGAAAGGGACAGCCAGCAACTGGTATTCAACCGTCAAATTTCAAATACGTGATTATGCAAATTTTCGTGATATATTCATTGACGAATTTTGGTCCAGACAAATACAGATACAAACCTGGAGCAGCTGTCTCAACACTACGCAGGTACCAGATAATGTCACATATAGGGAACATTTCTCCCAATGGGCAGCCAAACTACGTCACCTACAAGTACCTGAACTATCCGAAGAGGAAATTGTAAGTAACGTGGCAAATCATTACCCAGGGTATCTACGTGCTATATTAGTATCATTACCAGACAAATCGGTAATCAATGCTATGAAGGTACTAGGTGCGGAGGAGAGCCGCAGAAGTAAACCATCGGCTACGGAGAACAACTCTAATAATCAGAAAAACAATAATCAAAACAACAACACTTGGAGCCACAGGGTCCCACAAAATGATTGGAGTCACAGAACACAACAGCGTAACAATAATCAGCCACGGAACAACAGGTGGAATAACAAGGACGAACCACAGTCACAACAACCACCGCCATCACAGTCTCGTGACACTACGCAACAAATAAATCAAGTGACCACCAACAACGACAACAGTGACAGTCCAAGCACGTCACATTCAATCAACCTCATACAGGACAAGGAAGAATCATTCAGTCCATACATTCAATGTTGGATTGAAGGAGAAGAGGTAGAACTATTAGTCGACACAGGGGCGACTATTAGTGTCCTTACCAAAGAAATCGTTGACGTCATAGTGAAAAAGGATCCGACTATTCCACAGCTGCCGATCAACGGAGTACGAATAAGCAATGCAGTCGGGAAACAGATTTGCAAAATCTCCAAACAAATATTTTGCCAATGTCAACTCAATGATGCTGTGTTCCACGCCAACTTCATACAGGTTGACGGACTCAACGAAAAAGGAATTATCGGGGCAGACATACTCAATCAACACAACGCTCAGATAAACTTCCGTAATCACACTATACAATTTGAAGTAGATGATAAACCATACTCAATACCATTTTCAAAAAAATTGCCCAGATCCACGACAATGGGTAGCAACATACAAGAAATAACACTAATTGATCAGAATGAAATGGATGACACCGTCGACATCAGCAGTACGGAGCAAGAACAATTCAATTCTGTCATCAAAAAATATCAACACATTTTTTCCGACAGTCCAGGGAAAATTAAACAATTTGAATGTCAAATCCGCGTCACACCTGGGGAACCGATCTATCAAAAACCATATCCGATTCCAATGTCAAAAGCGATCAAAACGGATAAAGAGATTCAAAGGATGCTAGCATTAGGAATAATAGAACATTCCAGTTCACCGTGGTCGTCACCCATGGTGGGTGTAGAGAAAAAAAATGGAGACATAAGGATCTGTTTGGATGCTCGCAAAATAAACACTCGAATCATACCAGACCGAGAACGACCTATGAACATGGAGGACATTATGAACAAATTCAGGGGAGTAAAATACCTGAGCTCCATCGACCTCACTGCCGGCTATTGGCAGTGCTCACTAAAACCAGAATGCAGAGAAGTAACAGCATTTCTACACAAAGGCCGCAATTACCAATATAAGGTCTTACCATTTGGTCTTGTCAACTCAGTCGCAGAGTTTCAAAAAATTCTCGACCAAGTACTAGGACCTGAAATACTACAATTTGTAGCCATATATGTAGATGACCTACATATCACATCCAGCAACTTCAACGAACATATGGATCATTTGGAGGCCATATTCGATCGATTTGATCAATACAATGTAAAAATCAACATCAACAAATCACACTTCCTAAGAAGAAAAATCACCTTCCTGGGCCACATCATATCTGAAAGAGGTATCACCATGGACCCCGAAAAAGTTCAAACAATACAAAATTTTCAGCCTCCACAAAATAAGAAACAGGTACAAGCTTTCCTTGGATTTATTAATTTTTATAGAAAATACATCCGGGACCTGTCAAAAAATACCGAAGTTCTCAGCTCATTGATCAAAAAAGGAATTCCATGGAAATGGGACCTACCACAGCAACAGGCCTTCGAAGAAATAAAAAAGCAGTTCCTTGAAGACATAATAATACAGTATCCAGATTTTTCAAGGAAGTTTTACATCAGCACGGACGCATCAACCACACACATTGGCGCAGAACTATTCCAGAAGACTGATGAAGGACAGCATCAGACGCTCAGTTTTATCAGTCGAACATTAAACTCAGCAGAAAGAAACTACGGCACCACCGAACTTGAACTGTTAGCCATCGTCTTCGCTTGTAAAAAGTTTCGTAATTACATATTGGGACACGAAACACATTTATTAACGGACCACCAAGCACTAACGTTCTTAAACCGCTGCCAACTGCTCAACGCACGACTAACCAGGTGGACCATCAAACTACAAGAGTACCATCTTAAAATTGAACACATTCCGGGAAAGAAGAACGTGGGGGCAGACACACTCACCAGGTACCCACAATCACCTGACAGTCAGTTAGGGAAAAATGGTATTCAAGTCACCATTAATCAACTGACGATTATGGAATACAGTCCTGATTTGATGCAACAGTTTGATCATCTTAAAGAACTACAACAAGAAGATGTCAAATTGAAGAGGATTGTCCAACAGGTAGCCAGTAAAAAAAGTCAACACTTTTTTATATTCAAAGAGCTACTATTCACGAAGAATGAACATGGTAGATATCAAGTCCTGATACCACAATCCATGAACCAACCAATAATCGAAGAAACTCATGAGAAGTTTGGACACATGGGTACATATAAAGTATATCAATTATTACGAACTCAATATAAAATGCATAACATGTACCGAACTATAAAAAGAATTGTCAAAGCATGCGATGTATGTCAAAAGGCCA